AAAGTTGTCCCCCCAGGAAGGAAATTCTCCTAGAAAAGTAAAACAAGGAAAAAAGCTGTAAGTTCGGCCGGGCCGAACTTTGAATACCCTCCACCATTTGGAACGAATTTGGCAATTTTAAAAAACAATAAAATCCATTAAAAATTTTGTTAAAATCTTAAAAATACCGAATTTAGCTATTATATATTTAGGGTCTCTACGACGACATGAACCTGCGTAGGTAACATTTGCCATAAGCCATTACAATATTCAAATGCAAACCATAAACAAGTAAGCAAAGGCTACAGTCGAGCGGGGCCGACCGTTGAATACCCTACAACACTACAATTGGTTTATATAGGCGAGATACTCGAAAGAATTCCACAAGATATTGTGACAAATAATAAAAGAAAACCATCAGGATTCGTTCTCTAATTTTCGAATAATAGCAACTTAAACTTATTTGATCATTTCCAATTTATTTGTAGATGTTGCACTTAAATTATCTTCCTAGATCTGGAACCAATATTTCCCAAAGATCTATAATCTCTCAGAAGTGGCAAAAGATTAACATTTATTATTGGTTTTTGACTGAAACGCATCTATATGAGATACAGACATTTGACTATATTCTTCAACGAAATCAGCGTTAACGAAATAGTCGGAAGTGCGTCTTTCCTGTATTTGTGAATTCTCCATTTTCATATTTTGTCTACAAAAGTTGGCAAACTCCTTCACACATTGAATATTTTTGGATGGCCATCCAAAACTGCTTGGCTTTTGCAATGTGCGGTAACCCCCATTCAAATGTGCGTGAGGATCGGGCGATAATTACGACCTGCCGACAATTTTGCAGTTTTTGGTCCATTTCAACCCCTAAATATATGGCGATCATCTCCAAAAAGAGTACACTTCTATTCTGACCCTCATCTTATCCCCATGCAAAATTTCGTAAGGATCGAGCCATAAATGAGATCTGTATATGATATCCTGATATCCTAACTACTTAGTTTTGTTAGCTGTAGAAATATTACCAAATGTTTAATTCAAAATGAAAATATGCCAAAAATATGACAAAATTGAAAAAAATATGAGAAAATATTACAAAATCAATATTTTCATCTTTAGAGAGATATTTTTATGCGATTTTTTTAGACGTTTTTTCTTTCCTGCCAAGAGGCCATTCTGAATTAATGAGAACTGTCAAAATCAGTTCAACCGTTCTCGACATATAAGAGATTTTTCAAGCATATCTTCTTTGATAAACATATATATCGCACATATTTTGCTATATATCCGATTTGTTGGATGTTAACATCAATGTAAAGATCAGAAGTAACCTTGTCATGGCTTTGTGATTTCGCCGGGAGTTAAAATATTCACGGTTTAATGAAAATTTTTGATTTTTTTCAACACAAAAGATATGGTACATTTTACCCGCTAAATATTATCCGATGACCACCCAAATTAGTAGGCTTCTTCCCCGCCCTAAACTCTATCTACATGCGAAATTTCACGTCGATTGATCTATAATTGCGACCTGTATAGCTACTGCAAAATCCGACATTTTTTCAGTATTTGGTCCATTTCAACCCCTAAACATTTGGCGATCATCTCCAAAAGCAATAGGGTTCTATTCTGGTCCAAGCCCCACCTACATTCTAAATTTCGTGAAAATCGGGCCATAATTGCGACCTGTAGAGTGATTACAAATTAACATGGACAGACGGACAGACGGACAGACGGACGGACGGACATACATAGCTAGATCGACTCAGCTCGGCGAGCTAGGAAGATCCATATATACTTTCCTATGTGGGAAACCAATATTTCGAGGTGTTACATAATTTTTGGCCCAATCAAACTTATAATACCCCCAACACATAGTGTTGTAGGGTATAAAAAATCAGTTATAATTTCGATAAAATCAAAATACCGAATATCGGGAGACGTGGACCTGCACAGACAATTTTCTGTCGAAGGCTGTAGTATCCATTACGAACTTCAAATATCAAATTTGAAACAATTCTGGTGAATAATGTCGCTAAAAACCCGAATATCGGGAGGTTCCGTTATATGGGGGCTTTACGAAAAGGTGGACCTGCACAGACAATTTTCTGCCTTAGGCTGTAGTATCCATTACGAATTTTAAATACCAAATTTGAAACAATTCCGGTGAATACATTCGCTAAAACCGTCTAAATACCGAATATCGAGAGGTACCGTTATATGGGGGCTATACGAAGACGTGAACCTGCACAGACAATTTTCTATCTCAGGCTGTAGTATCCATTACGCATTTCAAATACCAAATTTGAAACTATTCCGGTGAATAATGTCGCTAAAATCATAAAAATACCGAATATCGGGAGGTACCGTTATATGGGGGCTATACCAGAACGTGGACCTACATGGCCCATTTTCAATACCAAAAGTCCTGCAGACATAACATACATTTGAGCAAAATTTTATCAATCTACTTCAATTCGTTCGGAAGCTAGAGTGATTTTCACAGACGGACGGACATCGCTAAATCGACATAGAATTTTATGCTGATCAAGAATATATATACTTTGTGGGGTCTAAAATTTGTATTTCGAGGTGTTACAAACTTCATATACCCTCCATACTATGGTGGAGGGTATAAAAATCACAAGTTTACCTTTGGACCGTTTATTCGGTCGTAAAAGAGGAAAAGGAGTGTCAGATAAAACAAACATGGCAGTTAAAAACCAATAAGTCCATTTTTACCCTCCACCATACATAGCCATAGTATGGAGGGTACATTGGGTTCGTCATTCCGGCTGTAACTCATCGAAATAAAAATTTTAGTCCCAACAAAGTATATATATTCCTGATCAGCGTAAAATTCTAAGACGATTCTAATTCTGTCCGTCTGTTGGCATCACGCTAGAGTCAAAACGAATGAAGATAGGAAGTTAAATTTTTTTTACAGATCAGTCTTTTGTCTGCAGGTAGCTCACGTTCAAAAATGGGCTATATCGGTCCACGATATCGTATATCCCCCATATAACGGTACCTCCCAATATTCGGTATTTTGTAGCCAAATTTTTCAATGAAATTTTCTGAAAATCCACAAAAGGTGTTCCTTCTGAGTACTTTACGCCCTGAAAGAGTATTGTCTATATAGGCCCTCGATATCGTATATCACCCATATAACCGTACCTCCCTATATTATTCAATGGAATTGTCTAAAAATCCGTATTTTCTAAGCATTTCACCACCTGGAAAAAATATGTTTATACAGGTCCACGATACAACAATTTCCCCCGATATTCGATATTTTGACGATTGTTTCAAATTTCGTATTTAGAATTTGTAATGGGTACTATAGCCTATGACAAAAAAAATAGTATGCAGACCCACGTCTTCGTATAGCCTTCATATAACGCTACCTCCCAATATTCGGTATTTTGATAATTTTAGCGACATTATTTACAGGAGTTGTTTCAAATTTCGTATTTAGAGTTCGTAATGGAAACTACAGTCTACGACAGAAAATTGTCTACGCAGGTCTAGGTCTTCGTAGAGGCCCCATATATCAGTATCTCCCTATATCTGGTATTTTGACGATTTTAGCTACAATATTCACCGAATTTTTGTATTTGAAGTTCCTAATGGGTACTGCAGCCTGTGACAGAAAATTGGCGGCTATACCATTATATGGCGGCTATACCAAAACGTGGACCGATAAATCTCATTTTCAATACCAACCATTCTAGGCAGAATACAAATTGTTCTGCTAAATTTTTCGAGTATAATATGTTTCCGATCATGTAATATGTCCCTTTATAGTTCCTCTTATAATTGATATATCCAGTTAATTTATGTGCGATCAAAATACTGGGGTATAAAAAGCAGGGAACAAAGATTAATATATAAATATAATCGCTCATATCATGCCGTGATGCAATACTCAATAAAACTTATGTTAGATTTTTATACCCTACACCACATATTGGTCAGGGTATTATGTCTTTGTACATTTGTTTGTAACATGGAGAAGGAAGCGAGATAGACCCATAGTTACTTTTGAGGATCTTCATAGTATCATTTTCTGAGTTGATTTATGCAAACAAAATACAGGTCGCATTTATTATCCGATAGAGATGAAATTTTCCAAACAACATTTGTTTGGCCCAAGGACGAACCCTATAGAAATGGGAGATAATCGGTCAAAATTTAGATATAGCTCCAATATATATCTTCGTCCGATTTGCCTTTTATTGTGCACCAAACGTGTAATATCAGCCCGAATAGTATGGAATTTCGCACGTACGATCAGATTGGACCTGAAAATAAGTATGCCAAATTTGATCGAAATCGGTTTAGATATAGCTATAGCTCCCATATATATTGTTCATCCGATTTGTTATTTTTGTCCTCCGCAGCCGTTATATGCACTCTGTAACAACAATATTTGGGAAAATATATCAAATACATCTCAGAAATACGTTTGCTAAATTTTATCGAGGTCGGTTCAGATTTGGATATAGCTCCCATATATAACTTCGTCCGATTTACTTTTATTGTACACCAAACTTCTAATATTTGTCCAAATTGGATGAAATTTGGCACTTACGACCGAATTGAGTCTAGAAGCTAGTATGTCAAATTTGGTGAAGATCGGTTCAGATATAGCTATAGCTGCCATATATATTGTTCATCCGATTTGTCATATTTGTTACCCACAGCCGTAATATGCACTCCGTAACAACGATATTCAAGGAAATATATATTAAATACAGCTCAGAAATATCTTTGCCAAATTTTATCGAGATCGGTTCCGATTTGGATATAGCTCCCATATATATCTTTTTTTGATTTCAAATTATTTTTGCACCAAATGGTAATACAAGTCCGAATTTAAAAGATACAAATGCTTCGGCATATTTTCTTTGAACTTTAAATTATAATTATAATCACGGCGTGTATGATTGAAATCTCCCATAAAAACTTTTACTTATTATGTGGAGCTCTACTAAATAAGAAAAGTGGTGTAGGGTATCATAAAGTCGGCCCTCCCCGACTTTAGGACTTTCTTTACTCGTTTAATAATGTATTTTCATATCCATATTATCCATAAAATTCCGCAATTATCATAAAGCTAAAGTTCGCAACTTCTTGACTCTGATTTAATCAACATTCATTTTTCTAAACGATCCTCCAATACCAAATTCACTTTTTTCCGTATAGTCTCCTTCTTCCATTCTCAATTTTTCATCAGATCCACACTCAGCGTTGCGCTTGAAATACTCTCGATGATCATCGATGACTTTTTCATATTCAAGGCAAATATTTTCCACTGACGAATTTTCGCCGCCATAATCTTGTGGCAAATATTTTTTCGGAAAAATATCGCCGAATTTATCGAAATTGTCGCTATCAGATATGTGTATCTAAAAGAAAGAGAACGATAAATAGATATCCCTTTCTCAAGGCATTACAAACAAAACTTACCCGCTTTCGAAACTTTTCCGGTGCGCATGATAATATCAAATTGAGTAGCGTCTGTACGAAAGGTGGACCATTTAAAAAGAAGGCCATTTTGATGCGCAGCGGATATGCCTTTTCACAGAACTGCATTACTTCCAGTATCATTTTTGGCGAAAGCATTGGCAAATGTTGTAGGCTAACCTTGGACAGATCGGTGACAATCACCAAACCCTGAATGCAGGCATATGGATCGCTCTGTAACAGAATTTCAGCTATTGTCCAAACGTAACGAGAAACATCGATGCTTGAAAAATCGTTGGGTCCAAAATTGTTTTGCTCAATTACTATGCGCGGACCGTTTCCGTGCAGTGGTGTCGGCAGGATAGATAAGCATCTGGAATGTACAAAAAAAAGTTTTTAACTAAGTAAATGCATATATAAATAGAAAATAATAAATCGAAAGTCGACTTCTTGTTTTTAGATTTTGCTTATTTTTATACCCTAATATGGCTAGAGAGGGCATATATCATTTGATGCGACAAAAACGTGAATCGTCGAAATAACGGTTTTAGATCCTAGGTTTATTTGGACCAAATCCGTTTTAGGACATTTGAAGTCGATCCGTCTGTCTGTCTGACTGGTTCGCACGACAACTCTCGAAGGGAGTGTTCGATTCGGTCCAATCATGGTACATCGCAATATTATTATCAAACTTAGATCGAGTTCGGAGGTGGGTAATATCGCCCCACTCCTCGAAATTTCAAAAAAAAAAAAAATACTTTACTACACGGAAAGAAAAACAATAATCCGATTTTGCTCCAACTTTGAAAATCCTAATATTGGCACCAGTGCTAGATCATGTGCGAAAATTGACAATATCGGTCCACTCCTTCCCCACAAATGATTAATATTTTGAATAATTATAGCACGTATATAATGTGATGTAAGAGTCCGGTAGTATTCAAATGACATACATCACAATATCCTAATTAACCCAAGGTCTGGTGTGAATATGGGATATATTGGTCCACTTCTTTTGGTACCACCCCCTCAAGGGGATAAAGTTTTGAATATTTTTAAGGTTATAAAATGCAAACTTAACATACGATTCCTTTCAGACTTGTCACATGTCAATATTTCTATCAACACTCGATCTGTTGTGAAGATGGTACTGATCGAACCCTTCCTCTAGTACCTCCCCCACAAAAGGTCAAAGTTTCAAATAACCAAAAATATTATAAAATCCGAAATAAACTTCCGGTTCTCTTCATTTTTTACCTATTCCATTATTGGTACTAGCACAAGATCTGCTGTGAAGATGGTATATATCGGTCCACTCTTTCTGGTATTTCCCCCACAAAGGGTCAACACATTGAATATCTATGAAGTTCATAAAACGCGAAATTTACATCCGATTCCATTCAGACCTTGTACATTTTAATATTTCAATCAATACAAGATCTGTTATAAAGGTGGTAAAGATTGGATCATTCCTTTTGGTACCTCCCCCACAAAGGGTCATGGTTTTGAATACCAAAACGGTTATAAAATCCGAAATAAGCACCCGGTTCTCTTCATATTTCACACATCCCATTATTTCTACTAAGACAAGATCTGCTGTGAAGATAGAATATATCGGCCTACTCTTTCCGATACCTCCCCCACATAAGGTTCAGAATTTTGAATATCCATGAAGCTCAATTAACATCCGATCCTATTCAAACTTGGCACATCTCAGTGTTTCCATCAACACAAGATCTGCTATAAAGATGGTTAATATCGGAGAATTTCTTCTGGTACCTCCCCCACAATGGGTCGAAGTTTTGAACAACCAAAACGGTTATAAAATTCGAAAAAGCACCCGGTTGTCTTATTATTTCAAACAACCCATTATTTCTACTAAGAAAAGATCTGCTATGAAGATGGAATATATCGGCCCACTCCTTCTGGTACCTCCCCCACATAAGGTTACTAAATTTTGAATGAAACGCGAAATTAACATCCGATTCCATTCAGACTTCGTGTATCTCAATATTTCCATCAACACAAGGTCTGTAATAAAGTTTGCTAAGAATCGGTTCAAATTTAGATGTAGGTATATCCAGGTATATCTTCAACCGATTTCGTGTTAATTGTGTACCAAATGGTCAATATCTGTCCAAATGACCTGAATTTTGACACATCCGACCGAATTCAGTCTAGAAGCAAGTACATGCATCGGTTTAGATATAGCTCTAGCTCCCATATACATGTTTCATCCGATTTGGAACAATGACATTTGATACCGGACATCAGGTACAGCTCGAGAGTACCTCCGCCAAATTTTATCGAGATCGGTTCAGAATTTTGTCTAGCTTCGATATACATCTTCATTCGATTTTATGGTTATTCGTCACCATATCTGTAATATCTGTGCAAATTGAATCGTTTTTTTCATATTCAAACGAATTTTACCATTTGATAAACCTAGGTCCAGTATATATATTGCTTCGAATTTACTTCGGAATACTTCGGTCGACTATATCTGATACCTCACGTACATTTTAAAATTTTCTAAAAAGTATATAAAATTAACGAAGTAACCAATATAGTCGAAACCAGGCACATCGCAATATTTATAACATATTTTGTTAGATCCGATTCGAAATTGACAATATCGGCCCATTCCTTCGGAACCTATTCCATAAAGGGTCAAAAATTCGTATAATCACAACAGAAGTCAAAATATCCTTCCAGGAACCAATCACAAGATTATGGTATATATTTTTATGTACCGTAATATTTTACGCTAATGAGAATATTTGCCGATGTATATTTCCAACTTACCGAGTTCTGTGGATTTTACGAAATGTCAGATCATCTACATCATCCACACGTCGCAGATGTAGGCATTTCGTAGAAATCCCATAAAAGTTATTCAGTTTTTTCTTGGCCTTTTCAAAACTGAATTTACTGCCACGAAGAAATTGCACCAGAAATTGATCTTCCATGCAGGCCTTCAAGTGTGGCTGTTGCAATATCCATTCCTTGAGAGCATCTAAATCCTCGGCAATTCTTTCCGGAACTTCTCCCAATTCATTGATTGCAATTTTTTGCAACTCCTCCGGCAGCGGTCTAATGTCTGGCATGTTTATTGAATAAACTGGGAATTGATACTGATTGATGTATTGCAAAATGTGCGAACTTTATTGTAGAATTGTTATTTGATTGGCAATCGTCTTGATTTTTATTAATGTAATAAAATGGCAAACGAGTTAGGGTGTTGATGGATTTTGAACCATAGCTAATGAAAGCTACGTTTACATTAAAGTCCTTTATTGTGCTAATAGATTTATTAGACCTTTGTTTCCATACATTGTGTAGAATTGCAAAATATCTAAATTCTAGCAAAACTTTGATAAAAACACATGGGCCAATTTTAGTACCCTTAGAATCACTCGATATTATTGGAGAGTATAGAAACATGCCTTGCACGTTGATTCGGAATTGTAGCTATTGAACTTTCAGAATTATACCCTCCCTCCATGTATGCAGGGTATATTAAGTTTGTCACTCCGTTTGTAACACCTCGAAATATACATTTTAGACTCCATAAAGTGTATATATTATTGATCAGCATAAAATTCTATGTCGGTTTAGCGATGTCCGTCCGACTATCCGTCTGTGGAAATCACTCTAGCATCCGAACGAAATGAAGTAGGTAGATAACATTTTACTCGAGTGTGTATTCTGTCTGCAGGACTTTTGGTATTGAATATGGATGATGTAGATCCACGTTTTGGTATAGACCCCATAAAATGGCACCTCCCTTTTTTCCGTATTTTGGTGATTTAAGCGACATCACTCGCCGGAAATGTTTCAAGTTTGGTATTTGAAGTTCGCAATGGGTACTACAGCCTATGACTGAAAATTGTCTGTGCAGGTCCGAGTATTCGTATAGCCCCCATATAACGGTACCTCCCGATATTCGGTATTTTGATGATTTTAGAGACATTATTCACCAGATTTTTTTTTTAAATTTGGTGTTTGAAGTTCGTAATGACAGAAAATTGTTTGTGCAGGCCCACGTCCCCAATATAATGATCATTGCCTATATTCGGAATTTTGAAGAAATATTATTCACCGAATTTTTTTATTCAAGTTTCGCATTTGAATATTGTAATGGTTTATGACAAAAGTTGCCTATTCAGGTCCACGTCGTCGTATAATAATATAACGGCTACATTCGGTATTTATACCCTACACCACAAGGTGGTCAGGGTATTATGTCTTTGTGCATTTGTTTGTATCAGGCAAAAGGAAACGAGATAGACCCATAGTTCCTTTTGATGATCTGCATAGAATCGTATTCTGAGTCGATTTATGCATGTCCGTCCGTCCGTCTGTCCATGAATTTTTGTAAACAAAGTACAGTTCGCATTTATTACCCGATCCAGATGAAATTTTGCACAAATCATTTGTTTGGCCCAAGGACGAATCCTATTGAAATTGGAAATAATCGGTAAAAATTTAGATATAGCTCCCATATATATCTTCGTCCGATTTGCCTTTTATTGTGCACCAAACGTGTAATATCAGCCCGAATAGCATGGAATTTTGCACATACAACAAAATTAGGCCTGAAAAAAGTATGCCAAATTTGATCGAAATCGGTTCAGATATAGCTATAGGGAAAAATATATCAAATACAGCTCAGAAATACCTTTGCTAAATTTTATCGAGATCGGTTCAGATTTGGATATATCTCCCATATATAACTTCGTCCGATTTACCTTTTATTGTGCACCAAATATTTGCCCAAATGGCATGAAATTTGGCACTTACGACCGAATTGAATCAAGAAGCTAGTATGTCAAATTTGGTGAAGATCGGTTCAGATGTAGCTATAGCTCCCATATATATTGTTCATCTTATTTGTTATATTTGTTACCCACAGCCGTAATATGCACTCCGCTACAACGATATTCAGGGAAATATATCAAATACAGCTCAGAAATGTCTTTGCCAAATTTTATCAAGATCGGTTCAGATTTGGATATGGCTCCCATATATATCAAATGGGCAATACAAGTCCGAATTTTAAAGATACAAATGCTTCGTCATATTAAGTCTTTTGAACTTTAAATTATAATTATAGTGTATGATTGAGAATTCCATAAAAACTTTTAATTGTTATGTGGAGCTCAACTTAATTAGCAAAGTGGTGTAGGGTATCATAAAGTCGGACCGCCCAACTTTAAGACTTTCTTGACTGGTTTTAAGATTTTAACAGAATTTTTAACGGATTTAATTTTTGGAAAATTGCCAAAATCGTTCCAAATAGTGGAGGGTATTTAAAGATCGGCCCAGCCGGACTTACAACTTTTTTATATGTTTATATATATATATCATTTATTGGGCACTCCCTATGCGTTTTTAATTTTTAATAATAATATAATTTAATTAATAAGTTAATAAAAAGATTAAGTAGTAGAAAATTGTGAAATTTAGAGTCACAGATCAAAAATATATTTGTCGTATAGCGCTGCAGAGGGTATAAATAATTTTATACGGGCAAAACGTGCCTCATCGAAATAACGGAATCCTTGGCCAATTTGGACGAATTTTCATTCGGTCCACTCCATCATATACCTCCCCACAAAGGATAAAAATTTTGAATAATTATAACTCTAATAATTATAACTCTAACTAAAATAAACATCTGATTCTCTTCAAATTCCAATTCCAATATTTCTATCAACTTATGATCATGTGTGAATATAGAATATATCGGACCACTCCTTCTGCTACCTGACCCACAACGGGTCAAAATTTTGAATAACCATGAAGCTCATAAAAAGCGAAATGATCATCCGATCACATTCTAACCCAGTACATCTCAATATTTCTACTAACACAAGTTCTGCTGTTACGATGGAATATATCGGATCACTCCTTCTTGTACCTCTCCTACAAAGGGCCAAATTTTGAATAAAATGCGAAATAAGCTTTCGATTCTCTTCAAATTATACACATCCCAATATTTTTACTTCAAATTACCCACACAAGATCTCGTAAGAAGAACGAATAGAACGAAGCAACACCTTCCCCACAACTTGTCCAAATTTTGAAAAATTATGAAACTCATAAAGAGCGAAATGAGCATCTGGGTCCTTTCCAACTCGACACATCCTATTGCAAATGGGATATATCAGTCCACTCTTTCTGGTACCTCCCCATAAAGGGGTCACAATTGTCAGTAGCTTTATCTAACATAACTTGTGAAACAAGTCAGATATTCTTGAAGTATGTAAATATTTATCTCACCAGAGATCTGATGTGAACTCCTTCTGGTTCCTTATTTACAACAGGTTAAAATTTTGATTAACACCTATTCGCATAAAATTGGAAATAAATGTTAGATTTTCAATTAAATTTGCACCCAATATTTTTTAGTATTAGATGAAGTGGAATACAGCGGTTTACTATATCTGGAACCTCAAGCATATTTCAAATTGTCACATATTTCATATAGACCTTGGACATTCCAACAGGACTCAGCATAATCTCATCCGGCACGCGCCACCCAAGAATAGTTATAAAATGAGGTTACTCGCTTCATTTCCAGCGCCCAATGGCCACCAAAATCTCCGCATACCAATCCGTTGGACTATTGTGTCTGGAGTATTTTGGAAAGCAAGATTATCACTAAAAAATACCAAAGTGTCGATCACCTCAAGCAAGCGCTTCGCCGGGAATGAGCCAAATACCGCAAAGCAACATTTGGACAGCGTGTGACGGTTTCATAGGCCGTTTGAAGGCCATAATTCGTGCCAAAGGTGACCAATTCGAAAAAATCTAAACTTATTCTAAAATTTGATGCTATTTCCGACATCCTTTGCTTAAATTCAATAAAATAAAAAAATGTAAAAATTATGCCAGTTTTTTTATCTCACACGTATATTCGGTATTTTCAAATTGTTTCAAGTTTGCTCTTTGAATATCGTAAGGCCTATGGCAACAATTTCCACAACAATATAATTCCACGTCTTCCTACAGCCCCAAACTTTCTGAGTTGATTTATGCATGTCAGTCCGTCTGATCATGTATTTTGTGAACAAAATGCAGGTCGTATTTATTATCCGATTGAGATGAAATTTTCCAAATAATTATTGTTTAGCCCAAGGACGAGCCCTATTGTAATAGATGAGAATCGGTTGAAATTTTTATATAGCTCCTATATATATGTTCAACCGATTTCGGGTTAATTGTGCACCAAATGGCCAATATCTGTCCAAATGAACTGTATTTTGGCTCATTCGACCGAGTTCAGTCCAGAAGCAAGTACATTTAAAAAATCGGTTCAGATATAGCTGTAGCTCCCATATATATGTTTCATCCGATTTGGGGATTTAAGTCTCTCACGTGCTTAATATGCACCCCACAGTAATAATCTTTGGTACAGATTTCAGATACAGCTGAGATTTCAGATACAGCTGAGGTAAAATTTTTTCAAGATCGTTTCAGATTGGGATTTAGCTCCCATATATGTCTTTATCCGATTTCAGCAAGTGCTTCAATTTTTGGTAAAAATCGGGTTAGATGTAGCTATATCTGTCATATATATGTTTCATCCGATTTGAACTCCACAACAATGTTTTTGATACCGGGCAACAGATACTGCTCGAAAATACCTCTGTCAAAATTTTCAGATTTTTATATAGAAAATGTATCATCCGAAGTTACGGTTATTGCTTGCTTTCCTTATTGGTTATGATATCCATTTCTCAACGGAATTATTTAAAAAGAATGCAAATTTCTTCCAATTGGTGGGGGGTATTCAAAGTTCAGCCCGGCCGAACTTACTGCTTTTCACTTATTTAATATTTTTAATTATTCTATGGGAGGTACCACAAGGAATAAACCCATATTCGCATCATATCTATTATTACCAAAAATATTGGAATGATCCGAGCATGAGGAAAATCGGTAATTCATTACCAATTGGGGAAAGTATTTGTTACTTAAAATTTCGTGTTTTTTAGGGGAGATATAGTGTACATTTTTGAAACACTCCCTTAGACTTATGTGAAATATGCAATTTTTTGATAATTTTCGAACATGATATATTTTTGACAAAATTATTTTATTTTTGCCTTCTGTCCAACCCCACCGTGTTGAAATTTCCTTCTTGAAAATGACA